CCTATTAGGAAAGAGTATTATTAAAGAAAAACTGATGGAAAAATGGCAACAAAAAAAGGGTGGGATGAAGAAAAAACAGGAAGTTGGTTTTATAAAATTCAGAAGATAGTAGGAAAAATAAGAAATGGAAGATGAAATAGAAAGGAGGAGAGAGTGATAACAAGGTTAAGATTTGGGCATACAGGACTTAATTATACACTTTTCCTAATTCAAAAGCAAACTACTGGCAAATGTGATTATTGTGGAAAATATGAAACAATAGAACATGTTATACTGGAATGTCATAAATATGAAAGCGAGAGAGAATATATGAAGAGAGAGTTTGAATGTATTAAGAAAAAGATGAATTTATTAGATATTTTGAGGAAGAATTTGGGAAGTAAACATATACAAACAATAATTTTATTTAAAAAAAAAACTAAATTATTCCATAGAATTTGATTATAGAGAGGATGACTGTTTGCATGATATGAATACAAAATTATGTATAAACATGTAGTTTTTTGTTGTTGTTGTTTTTCGTTTTCCTTTTTTTTCCCTTAGAAATTATATATATGTTTATTAAGTAGATAGTCCATCACGAACCACACTACATACCTGTAAGTGGCGGTAATGCTACTAAATGTTTGTTGCCAACCGCCAATAAATGAAGAAGAGAAAAAACATCAAGATAACTGCTAAATGTAATATTCTTTCCATAAATACACATATAAATGTTCACACTCTTTTAAGCAGATAATAACAACTGTTTTTTACTTTTATATTGAAACATCCAAGCATTACTTCCTACAGAAACTTTACTAATGAAAATGTCTAATTTGTTTCTGGTTTTAGTCATGTTTACGTTTATTTGTTGAGCTATAATAATCCCAAAAATAACAAGTGACTCAATTTATTTAAATTCTGTATATGTTTAAAATAATAAATCTAAATTAATGTGAAATAGAAAAGCATAGAATAGAATTCAATCTTATTGTCACGTACAAAGCAACAAAATGTAGTTTGCATCTATCCAAAAGTGCTATACAGGATATAAATATTTAAATGTGTGCAGAAACTATGTATGGAGTAGAGAGTAACTGTAAGATGCTATAAGATAAATTAATATGGAAGCTATATACAGAAGATTCTTAGTCATCCAGGCCATAATCATTCCAAAAATGTTAAAAAACAATCCACTGGGCTTTGTTTCTAAGTTTGAAGACGTTTCGCTTCCCATCCAGGAAGCTTTTTCAATTCAAAATGTCAGAAATATCATTGAGTTCAAGGCTTTATACAAGCCTTTATACTAACCCTTCATATTAGAGATGGAAGGCCATCCCACCTGAGAGTACAGGTCACAGTGATGTCATAGCTCTACAGTTTGTGATGAACCTTAATTAAGCATGGTAAACAGAATAAAAAATGGCAGAGACAGGGCACTTTTTTACTTCAAAAGAAAAACGTATCTTACTATGAAAGAAGAAGCCCAGTTTAAGTTTTAATTTCTTAACAAGTTTATCAATAAAAAGTTTGAAGGTGAGGGAGTCATCAATTCCAATATGGATATAGATTATATATATATATATATATATATATATATATATATATATATATATATATATATATATATATATATATTAACAGGGTTATAATGTAGGATAAATAATGACAGCGGATAAAAGATTTACAGGTTATATACAGCTATAGTTGAGAAGTACTTGTAAGTGGTGATGGATTGGATCTGTAGGTTGTTGTGTCTGTGTGTGTGTGAGGACAGTCTATATGTTATTGTTGTGTTATGTGTACGTTATGTATGTTAAATACGTTTTAATAAGTGAATATTTACCATATTAAATTATTATTTACCATACATGTGCATATTAAGCTTCTTTTCCCCTGTGGTTATCAGTTTGTCTTCAGCATATGATTGCAGTGTGATATGCACCTAAACATTCGGCCAGGGTTTCCTTGATGACCGTGGTACCTTCAGGTACCTGAATTTCTATTTATGATAGAACGAGGTCTGTGGAGAACTACAGTTCTCTTCCTGATATATGGGGTCAGACTTCCTTCGCTTTTTTTCCATGATGTCACACAAGGAACAGTTTGAGGTGTTGCCTCCTTTTGACTTGTAAGCTAATCTATCAGAAGCTTATAAACCTAAGAAATCCACATGTAGGGTTTGCCAAATGTTTTAACCCGCATATATCTTAGTGCGGGCATAATTCTGAAGCGGTCTTATAAAAAAGAATTTTCTCTTAATTTTGACATTTAGACAATATTAGGTTTTTCTTTAGAACTGGCCTTAAAGGATGAGTTTAGTCGGATTTAATGGAAGGTGGTGAGAAATAAAAGTCATGTCTCTTGGGCCATTTGAGACAAGTTCATTTTTGATAACAAACAAAGTGTGAGAAACACTCAACAATCCTTTATTTTCTTCCATTTTTAAGTACAGTTTCACCGTAGAATGCCAACACAGTATATACGGTAATCAGTCAGTATCTCATGCTCAGCCAAAGGGACACCTTTCTTCATTTAATGTTGAGTCCCAAACAGAGTTATTGCTAGAAAGAAACTAGAGAACATTTTAAAGAAGAGGCTTGATGGAGCCAAATACAGTCAAGAGAAAAAATATGGTTTTATCATTGATGTCGACTTAAAACTGAAACAATGAGACGTGGTTGGGCCATTGCATCTGCTGGGTTCACTTTTATATTATGAAGAGGAATAAATGAAATATTCTATATTTTTCACGCTTTTTATGATGTGAGATTCATGATACCATCTTGTAAACAGTTGAAGATGATAGATCCAGGCTTGGAAGAGTTGCTGCTGCAGGAATATTCAAGGAAAAGTCAGAGGTATTAAGAGGTATTGAGATTACTCTGTGCTAAAGTACAGATTATTTACTTTTAAATGTAGATGAATAGTGATGCCATAAGGAAATCTAACAGTCTATAGTCGAGATGTCCTACTTTTAGTGCAATAGACGTCCAGAAAATGAAAAATTAACAACCAGAGTGCGACTGAGAATAATCCTCCCAAAAAACTCACTTTAATACAGTCCATAAGGAGACAAAATAAGTCTTCTGTTTGCTTATTAAGTGAAAGCAAAGGGGGAAAAAAAATGTCAAACAAAAATTATAAATCAAACCCCAAAGTTTAGATAATTGCAAAAAAATATATGTCTTTCCTTTTTTTGTCTGTAACCTAAATCATTAATATAAATACTATATAACATATTAACACATTGCTGTATCTTTGAGAAAAAAATTGAAATCCTATCAGGGGATTAAGGAATAAGAAATTCAGATAGAGTCTAACTTTATTTATAAACCCCAAACTGAGTGAAAAAACATATAGTCTCCAGCCTGATCCTATGCTATAAGGCAGTAACTACTGGGAAAAGGGACACTTCTTTCAAGATTGTTATCTTACTTATGGAGCATTAGTAAAAAAAAAATGTTTCTTATATAAGATTAAAGAAAAAACAAAGTTTTAATTGAATATTGTAACACTGAAGGACACCACCTCCTCGTTTTTCAGATGACTTCTGTCTTCCTGGACATTTATTGCCTTTGTGCAGATTTTTAACAGTAAAGAGACAAAAGCAAGCGGACCAGAATTTTAAAATCCTAAGGACAAAAAGTCAAAAGCAACTTCTGTTTGTTCTCCTGAGTTGAAAAGAAACTCCAACACAACCAGCTTTAGATAAATGAAAAGTTGGGCAGACAAAACCACACCTGAGGAAAAAGAGGGTCATTTCACCCCTTCGCTGTTTCATACTTTAGGTCGTTTCATTTCTTTATTATTATTTTTTTACATCTGTCCTGATATGAAAGAAGCAGTTTACCACAACACTTTTCATAATACGTCTTATAGCTGATTATTTTAGCTAATGTCATGAACTCTTTTCACGTCATCTGTAAGAAAGTTTGTTTATGACTCCAATAAACAATCAATATGTTATATTTGCTATTTGACCACACCAAACAGAAATCAGAACCACATTCAAGGGCATTAGGCATATAATATATATAAAAACACAAACTACAGCATAAAATGCACAAAAATATAAACAGAAATAAGATTTAAATCTTTTTTTGATTTACCAAAGTACTGTTTTAGCATAGAAATGACTTGATGAATCTAGCATGACTCAACAATAGTTTGTAAGCAGCTGCAAACATGGAAAGAAACTGAGCAGGGACCGCTCTAAAAAGTTTATAAAGGGGCTGACTGAAGGGGACCACTATAATATTCATAATGTTATGATGCATAAAGGAGTGTTTGACCAAATGAAGTCAGCTATGGCCATGGTGCTTTTTTTTTAGTAGCACCCCTGAGTTTGGGATAACATGGCAGCGTTTGGAGGTATGGAGGTAGAAACGGGCGAAGGGGAAAACTGACCCATAGCCAAGAAAAACACAGGGTCCAATGAGTCACAAGGAGCAGCTGAATGTGTCCTTGTTCTGTAAAGCTTCTATCCAAAGGAAAACCCTGAAGATCATCAGTTAAGACAGGCACTGAGGCACGAGTTCAGGTTTTAATTTAGATAAAGTATTTCCCAGAGAAAGGTGTTTTTGTTAACAATAGGAGTTCAACTTTCTTCATTTGTAGACCTTTTGGCTTGCAAACGATTCTACCTGAATGCTGCCAGAATTTACTTTTTTTTATAATCTTTTTTGTGGCGACTCATATGCAGACCGGGCTTGCCACCGAGTGCTTTTAAATTCCTGGGAATGGTGCCGGTTTGTTTGGTCTCCATTAACTGATGCAGCATTTCTCCTAAATGAAAAACATATTAAAGGTAATTCTCATTCTATGAAGCTATAAAAGCGATATAAACTTTTCTATAACTGCTTCTGCCTTGGATGGCAAAGATCATCACTATTCAGCAGCTTTTAGGACCGTTTAAGTTTTTTTTTTATGTTTTTGGAGTTGCTTATCTTTTAACTTTGGACCTGGTAATTCAATATAAGTATAATGAGCTCCAAGCTTGCACCAAATTAAAATTAAAAAGTTGCACAAAGTAGGATTTATTTATGTTCCTTCAAGGACATTTGATTTTGAAATGTTTTGAAGCATCAGTTGCAAAATGAGTTTATTAACAGTCTCTATTTCAAACATCGGCCTTTGAGGTATTTTAGGTAAACAGTGTTCTAGCAGAGTTTCTTAAAATGACCTCGCAAGTTCTAAGATGGAACTAAATACTGTATTTCAATTAAAATCATAAAGCAACTTGAAGCTGTAGTTTTTTGTTGTTTTTTATGTACGCTTCATTTATTGTGAGGGAAGGATTGATACTCGGTTCATACATATTTTAGTCCCACTTGAGTATTTTCAGCTGTGACTCAGTCGGAGGACATATAAACACTCGGACGAGCGGCCTCATTTACGGTCGGCCTCGGAAGATCTCGGTTGATTGGGACGCACAGCTGTGCCAAGGTCAAACTCACCGGCCTCACAGACTGAATATCTGCAGCACAGAGAGCATCTAACAGCAGTGTAAACCTAACCTCTGACACTTACTGACGTTTGCTATGCAAGTTATTTAAGTTTATATCAAAGTACATATTAGAAAAAGTATTTCCAGTAGATCCAAGGTAATTAAACAGCTATAACCAGTCTCAGTAGTAATTGGGTCAGGGTACAGAGCAATACTCGATAGCGTTAACAGTCTGATGGAAGATAACATATAAGGATGACTCTGTAGTTAAAAGCAGGAATGCTCAGACTCTAATCTGCGTTGGTCTGAGCAGCAGGGGGTGCTGCTGCTGAGGACATTAATCTGGGTGTTTCTTCCAGGACCTCCACAGGCCCCTCCCCACCTCCTTCCTCCTGGCCTTCTCTCTCCATGCCCAGAGGAGGCTGTCTTTGTGCCACAGTGTGTCTGGAGCAGGCTCTGTGCCTGCGGGGCTGCAGGAAGAGCGCTGGATCCGGCATGGCTGTGGGCTCAGCGGGGCCCAGCACTTTCTCTATGGGGACACACTCCCTAGCCCGCTCTACCCTGGAAGATGCCCTGACACTCTTACGTTTGGGTTTGACCACAGGAGAGGATGGAGAGGCGCCAGAGAGAGGGGAGTTCTGCTCAGCTTCCTGCTGGACCCCCTGATTGTTAGCTCTGGCGAGAAGTCCCTGCCTCTGTTGCATCCTCTGGTGATGCAGCTTCTGTTTGGCTGCATGCAGCTGGAAGGAGAGGTATGCTGCTGCCTCAGTTTGCTTCTGAAGCTCCGTGTTCAGGACGGTGGAGCAGTGGCTGCGGCGTTTCAGCTCCTCCAGAAAGTGACGCTCCTTTTCCTTGAGATTGGCCCTGAGGGCTCCCACCAAGGTCCCTTTGTGAACCAGCTCCTTTCGAAACTCTCCCAGAGTGTACTCCTGTTCTTCCAGACGGGTTTCCAGCTCCTTACAGCGGGCCTCCAGCATCTCCTCTTCCTCTAGTAACTCTGTCACAGAAAGAAAGCAGAACCATCGATTAAAAACAAACAACAGAGAATTTATCCTTTTACAATAAATCAATTTTTTTAAATGTTTATATATAGTTAATGTAAACTTTGTGTTGGTCTATTGCATAAGATTTTCATAATAGGTTACCTATTTCTCCTATTATTACGAGCCCAGACTTCAGTGTGTTTTGGGATAACTTAGAGCATCACTTGTGCTCCTTTTACTGCACTTTGAAATGCAGATGATTGAGGTAAAGTTCTACCAGCTTTGCACAACTATATACTAGATGTTTTATGCACATTCTTCTTCGCAAAATATTCCCACCTCATAGAGATTAGAATTATAATCCGTGAACATAACTTAAATTCGGAAATATTGCAACAGATTTCTAATTGGGTGCAGGCCTGGACTCAGTCCTAATTATTGAATACTTTATCTATTTTTTCTGTATTGTGTATAATTTCACCACTAGCTTTCCAATTTGTTAGGCTACATCTTAAATATTAAGAAACTACAAAGCACAGCCAACTGGTTGTATCCTGCCAGTTAAACCTTTAATAAAAGGTTTCTTGTCCTCATATAAGCAGAGTTAGGGTATCATTCCTTGTAGAACCACAGTGTTAGACGAATGTACATGGATGTTGCTTCATTTCTAGCCACTTTTTAGCTTCTGCAGACAACTTTAGGCTCTTTAGTCACAAAAGGCAGGGAGCTTCAGGCGAAAAGCTCTGAGTCAGTGAGGTTACATGCAGCTTTTAGAGGAGGATTATATTCAGAATCTGACTCTGACCTCAAAAATCAAAATTCCCATATTCAATAAGGAGATTTAGAAAACAAAGGTTATTAATTTAGAGATCAATTTATCTGTCTATTTTTCCCACATTTAATGATCATTCAATGGTTTTTCTTTTTGATAAATGACAAAAAATGTGTACGGTTACATTTAAACCCATAAACACACCTGTTCTGACCTCACTGGAGGGTAGAGCGTTCCTACAGATCTGAGAAAAATAAACCAAACTATCTGTTAAAGGTATCTAGGGTTTTCTCATGACTGATGATGAATTTGCCTTTTATTAGGCTGCATAATGTACCTGAAATGTGAAACACTCCATTTGAGGATTAGGGCTTTTTTGTAATTAAATATTTTCTGTAGAAAAAAAAAAAAAAAATCTAAATCCTTCCTTATGTGAACAAGGTAATTCCTTCCTGACAGCTGGGATCATGCATTTAGAATGGCAGGTAGTGTGTTCTACATTGCACACCATGATACTACCACCACTCTGTTTGATTATTGATATCAGGTTAGACAGTATACAGAATCAAAAACTCTGAGCTCATTTGAAATAAATGAGGTCTGCAGAGGATAACTTATAAAAAACAATAACTTTATAAAAATAAATAAATCCCTTTCCAAACTGCTAAACATGATCTGAGCATAATAAGCAGTGATTTGTTGAGGTTCACCACACTTGAGGTTAGATTCAAATAATTTAATAAACTGGTAATAATAATAAGTATTTTTAACATGATCTTATTCCTCATTCCCAGCAAATGGAAAGGAAGTATTTTCTCCTTAAAATGGCTGTAATATTATCCTCCCATCTCTCATACTCACTGCATCTGTCACAGACCATATCCTAACTCCTCATCCTTCCCCTATTCCACCTCATGTTACCTCTCTCCTCCCATTTTTTCATCTCTCTTGTCCAGGCCCTACATCTGAGCAGAGTAAGCAGAAACTCCCACTGGGACCTCCAGTAGAAACTGGAGCAGAAGAGGAATAAAGGGAACGGATCAATTTGTAAAGCCATTCTGAATTGATGGAGGGGGGGTTAACCTGTCCTGGAAAAAAAAGAAAAAAGAAATCTAATGACTGGGTAACTCAGCCAAGCAAAAACCTCCTTGTTACTCCAAGCACCCACACTCTGTCGCCTTTTGACTCCTCTTGTGTCTAAACTCGATGTGACAAAATGGAGCCTTTCTCTGCAGCCGCAGCTGGACATCAGCCATAAAAGTGAAGCTGTTGGAGCGTGTGGCATCTCCAGCTGTCTGTGGATCTCTCACCCTGGCAGAGCTGTTGTAGGAGCTCTCACACTGCAGAACTGCACATATGATGAAATGAATAAACCATGTGTGGCCTGTGAATGCTTTGTCAGAAGTTTTCCTCGGCAGATGCAGGAAAAAGAGGGATAAAGATATAAAAGGCATCTCTTACAGCTACAAACTGGACTGGATTATGGTCTGAAGCAGTCATACCCTCTTTAAAGAAAAATCCTAAAAGGGGAATTTTAGCAGACTTTCTCCAGACTGCATACCTATCTGGTTCCTCCCTGGTGGCTTTAACTTCAGCTCACTGGTCAGCTCTGAAACAAGAAGAAGAAAAACAAGCATTACAGAGACAAATTATGTTGCATTTTAGTTATTCTATTTATGCTCGTTGGTTAACCTCCCATGTGCCCATTAAAGTTTATAGTATATTCTCAGCAAATCTCTATTTTATCCAAAACAAGTGAAGCCCCCAAAAACTGAGGAGCAACAAACTGTATTAGCTGTCCAAAACAATTAGTCTATTGAAACGTCTTTCCACTGTTTCTATTCACAGCTATCACTTTTCATTAAAAAGAATGTCCATTTTCTGTCTCGCTTATCCCTACTGGGGTCGCGAGGGCTGCTGGTGCCTATCTCCAGCTGTCTATGGGCGAGAGGTGGGGTACACCCTGGACGGGTCACTGGTCCATTGCAGGGCAACACAGAGACAAACAGGACAAACAACCAATCATGCACACACTCACATCTAAGGACAATTTAGAGAACAAAAAACAACCTAACAGTCATGTTTTTGGACTTTGGGAGGAAACAGAGTACCCAGAGAGAACCCATGTATGCTCAGGGAGAACATGCAAACTCCGTGCAGAAAGAGACAGGCTAGAAATCAAACCAATATCTTCTTGCTGCAAGGCGGCAGAGCTACCCACTGCTACACCGAACAGCCCTTAAAATGAATGTGAATAAAAGAAAAACCCTGATAGAATAGGTAGAAGAAACAGCAAAAACCACATTAGGCTGCACTCCCTGTTACACACACTGGGATTATCCCTAAAGCAATTAAGGTTTTTCCCAACATAAAGCTGTTATTTAAACAAGCCTTGTAGAAGGAGGCAATAAACTAAAAGATTAGCTGGAGAAATTTACTTACATGATTTAGGATCATCTCAATCACCACAAGGTAAATTCTTCACTGACTAGAAAACCAAACCAGGGGTTTTGTCTAATTAGAGGGAAAAAGTTCCCATTCAGGAGGATTGATCCCTAGTGAATAGGAGCAGGTGATTTTTAAGCCGATCAGCCCAGATCAGTGATAACCTGGCCTGAAATTAAAGGTCCAAACTTTTTCCAGTTAGGTCATGTTCCACACAAAACAGTTAACCAATTATTAGCAATACTAATAAAAAGCCGTATAGTAAAATGTTGACGGGATATATTAACCATGATGAGAAGAACAAGGATTTTAAATGATGTTAAGAACAGTCACAATTACAAGGCATGGAAGTCAAATGACACTACCCTCTATTCAGAGAAATATTTGGGTTGTTTTGCTTTTAAACAAATCCCAAGAGTTCAGGTCATGGTTGGGAAGCAGAGAGTTGATAGTTAATACGGGATACGCTTTATTTTACAGAAAACACTTCAATTCATCCAGAAAGTAGAACAAATGCATAGTAGTTAAAGAATAATCAGTATCAGGACGCCGTCAGGTCGAAAACAGAATATTGAAAACAAATCAGAAATCTTTGTTTTCACGAGAAAGTGTATATTTAAAGGCTTTATAGTACACACGGCAAACCAAAGTTATTCATGTATGCAAGAAAAGAAAGTAAAGTAAAATAAAGACTAGTGAGGCAGACTGCACATAATAAACTAATCAATAGAACCTAGGAACTTGAACATGACAGGCTTATAAAATTAAGCCATCAGGGATGGATGTTTTATCCTCCTTTTAGCTAAGTCAGGGGTGCAAATACGTACATTGTAAGGTTAAGTAGAAATATATGTACTAAAATAAGACTCATGTTTTTAAATGTATAATGCATCAGACAGATGTGTTAGTGGTCCTCAGTTATTAATTGTTATTTTTAAGCAAGGGGGGATTGAAGAAAGAAGTAGTGGGAGGATCGCTGTCTGTTTCTGGCCTGTCAATCATCCAGTGGTGATTCGGAGTGTCAGCAAAGACATCCACTCAGTCAGCAAATGTATCACACACTTCAGTTCAAACCTGAGATGGGGATTTTTCCATTTTCTGGAAACCAGAAATGCCAATTTTCTACAAATTGTTTGTACATTTACTGAAAATAAAATCAATATTTTTAAAGTAGACCTTTTTTTTTACTAAAGAAACAAATAAATATAAGTGTTTTATTAAATACTTAAAAATAAAACTTGTAGGTTATTTTCTTGTATCAAATGGCAAAAAAAGCTATCCCCAGCTTTTTCTGTCCTCATGCCCCCCTGTCTTCAGTTGCAACAACACACCCACACATGCAGCTGAACAGAGACAGAGGGGAGGAATAATGATGGCACAGCAGCAAAAAAAGGAAAGGGCTGTGATATTCGGAATACCGAACTGCTACAGAACAGATATCTTCCTAATCTCTGGTTTAATAATGAGGGCTGTTTAATAACCTCAGAAGCTCTGTATTCCTCGTTACTCTCCCTCACCATCAACACAAGGCATTTATGCAGCCAATTCATTAGCTGCTTGCTGATTGCGAGGACTGAAAACAGACCATTCAGCTCACTGCAACATCCAGTAACATTTTATAGGGCAGCCTTATCTTCTGCAACCCATAACAGAGCATTAGAGGTTTTCTATTTCATCGATTCATCTTTGAATGTTGGAAAGACATCCTGAAGGACGAATCCAATGACATGCACAATAAACTATAGAGAGGAAGAAAAAAAACTAATTCAAAAAAGGGGAATTGGCCTGTACAGCTGAAGAAGAAAGCAGCACTGAGGCCTGTATGCTGATGAGGACATTTCAGGAAGCAATAAAAGGTCAGCAGTACAAAGACACAGCTGATGTTCACAACAATCTGCTCCGATCCACCTTGCAGCAACCTTCAAGGCAGCACTTTAGTGGGCTGACTGAAAACACCGTCCCATCTGTAAACACTAACTCCATCGCTTTAAGGTTATTTCACTTTGGTAAAATTAGTATCATTAAATTACCCAGGAACTTAAAAAGTAAAAGATTTAGGATAATGTTTAGAATAAGAAAATACCTCCCAATGAAGGCTTTGTCAAGATGTGCTTTTGAGACGATGAGTTGTTTTTCAGTTTCTGATAAAGAAATTTTCTTTAAGCTGCCATCAACGACCAACCAGGTCTGCAGAGAGAACCATGAGGGCCGAACCTCGTCCACCCAGGACTTGTGTAGGTCTAGGGTCAGGAAAGGGCAGCTAAAATCTCTGCAGACCTCACACATTCTGTACACTTTTAGACTTTAACCTGCAGGAGCGAAGGTTGACAATTTGATAAACAGTCAGAGTTTCCAGATCAATATGGTCCTGAATTGCACTAATCCAACCATTTTTCCCCTACTACAATTGTCATTATACTGTCACAAGTACAAAGCATTGAAACTAGCTCTCTGCTATCTCGAGAGACTGAGCTCTGGAGCTTTCCAGATATTTTAAGAGTTTTTAGAAGGTCTATTTTGATACAGTGTTTGTTTAAACACTATTTTCTTTCCAGGGCTGAATATAGAACACTTCGGCATGGGTTTGCTTTTAAATCTTTAAACAAGCTATGAAATTTTCGGTATTTACATTAGAATACCACATGAAGACTAAGAGACAAAAGGAAAAGGAACAGTCGTTTTGTTTTTTTTTATTTAGATTTTTTTCACCACCCATTACAGCTGAGCTGACCAGATGTGAGAGAGTGGAGCCATAGAGTGATGAAGGGGGCCGTTTGTAGCACAACTGGTCAACCTGGCACCAAGCCATTCGTCTCCACCTCCATCTTCCGCTCACAGACCCCTCCCCCCCATATCTGTGCACTGCAATCCTTTTATATGGATTACTAGAGCTATGCGATTAATGGACAAACAATCATCCCATCTGCAGACATCTTTCTTCGGGATGTACCGGGTTGTCTGCCCATTGGGTGACATACAGTGGAGAAAAAGAAATGTTTGAAAGAAAATCCAAAAATGTGAACCAGATGGAAATGGAAGCATGGGGAGTTGGGAGAGAAATCCATTACTCCCCTAACAGGAAAACAGCATGATGTCATCGTGGAGCCATTATCTGAGTTTGACTCATGATGATGCGGACACACTAAAAAATAGCTGTCTTTTTCAGATAGATAGATTTAGAAGCCATATGATAAGGTACTAAAATGAGTTCTGTTTTATTTAAGTGCAAATGGACTTTATGTCTGTTGACCAAACCCAGATTAATGAAGGACTCCATCTTGATTAACAAAGAGCTGTAGCAGCTAAGACGATAATACAAGGGAGACTTAAAGTGGATAAACAGACTAAATCCTTGACTGGAGGCTGAGATCATTCCAATAAATAAAATACTAAGCTTTAGTGTTATGTTTAAGGACAAACATAAAAACAAACAAAGAACCTTTCTAATTGCTAAGATGTTTTAAAAGCATTAAATCTAAACTAAGATATCTACTGTATCTGAAATAAAATCATAATTTATGTTTGGGCAAAGCATTACAGTTAAGCCCAATATTACTGATAGTTCTATGAGGTATAGATTTAAACTGTATTTCTACCAACATTTTTTTTTTTTTACTAAATAAGATTATTCAGATTGAGAATATGTGAAGGAAACCAAAGATTAGGGTGATAGAAAAAAAAGCATTCCAAAGCTTACCAGAATTTCACCATTGTGGGACAATAGACGGATTTTTGTTGGGTTTTTTTTCTATTTTAATCACAAAGATACAACAACACTTAACACCAAAAACTAAGTGGTTTGCTAAAAAACTGTTTTGCTATCAAACGCAGCCTACAGTGTTTGTTTGCAAAATTTTGAAAAAGGAAAACAATATCTTTGACACACAATTGTTTTCTATTAAAATATAAATAAAAACCTTTACAAAGAAACAACCCGCAAAAAACAAGCTAAAAGTTCCTCTTTAAATACACTCCAGAGCCTTACTTCTACCCACATATAATATTTTGTAATTATTTTTACACATTTTAGTATCTTCAAAATGACATGATCTTGTCCTGTCAGGTAGGATCTTCTCCTATCTGCTTAGCTCTCTCCAGTGCTTATTGTCGTTCATCAGATTCACCTGTTCCAGTTTGCTATTTAAGCTGCCTGTTTCTATCCATCGTGTGTGTTATGTTTCTGGCCTGTCAACTAGTATTTTCATTCCCCTCCCCCTTCTGCTCTGTGCTGCCTCTGCTCAGCCTAATTGCTCTCACCTGTTTGCCAGCCTTCTTAAGCAGGCCTCTCTCTAGTTGACAGTGCCAGATTGCCTGAAAGCCTTGGCTAGTAAGCATCCAGCATTTTTCGGTCTGTCTACCTGATCCTGACCTTTTTCTGCCTCCTGATTTTTTGAGCCTGCCTAGCCCTTGTTGGATCTGTTTTCTGTGCCCTGACCTTGTCCCTGGATTCTGTTTTGGATTCTCTGAAAATCTGATCACCTGGCTCTGACCCTGGACCTCCTTTGACCAAGATACTCTGCCAAGCCTCAGTGAGAATTCTGTCAAGCAACCAAAGTTTTCTGGAACCAAGACACCCCACCTGGATATTAAGAAAGAGGCTTTGGCTCCCCTGATCCTGAAAAACCTGCATTATTCCCTCAATAAATCTTTTAAAGTTATTTCCTGTTGTGTTCTGGTTGTTTCTGGGTCCTCAGTCTGAATCATAACAGTGTGAGATTATTCGAGGCCAGAGTGAAAGTTTTCTAGCTATCTGAGACTTTCTGATTACCTGATCCTGACCCGTTCTGCCTCTGAACAACTGTGCCTGCCTGTTTCTGTCTAAACGGTTTGCCTGAACTGTCTTTGGACTCCTGGACCTCCGATCCTTCCTCTTCTGATCTGTCATATAATTTTAAAAGAATGGACAGAAGATGCAGTTTTGCTTTATCCAATTTGGATGGATTATCTATTGTTTTTATAAACTTTTATCAACAAATATGCAGTACATTGCCTAGGGCATTTTGGAAAAAACTGCCCATCTATTTAAACATTTATTAGAATAAAAATGTGGATTTAGGGTGACTACACCTTTAAACGACTCTTATTTTTTTACATAAATTGATGTGCTATTCTTAGAGAGTTCCCCTGATATTTTCTATGAAAAAAAAAACTTTTAGATTAACGGATTTTGTAAAATCTAAATCTGCAAAGGGAAGGAATAATTTGGGCCATTACCGCATAAATCACACTTGAGATCATGTCATGACAGCCATGACTTAGATGGAGTGGAATATATGATAAAGAAAAGATTAACTATTAGAATGACATTTCCCCAAATCATGTCAGTAAATCTATTCTGTATTCATAAGTATGTTCATTGTTCTCTTTGACCTAATAGGCAAAAATAATAAAAAAAAAACTATATATATATATAGTTTTGATGCAAATTAGTAATTCATAAATATATACTACTCAAACACACACATTTATAGGTAAAGTGTTATAATAAATGATATTGTAACATAGAGGTGTACATTTAAAATTAATACCTGAATCTAATCCAAAATAAATACAACTGAAGATTTTAAATATCTTATAATAAAAGGTAAGACCTGTTTGTGGAAGAAATGTTCCAGATCAAACAACTTTGGATTGTTCTGAAGATGTAAAGTAATATAAGAAGCTTTATGCCTCCCTCACCTGAACAGCGTTTCTGCAGGGAGAGGATCTCCAGGTGCAGGCCGTGAAGCAAAGTGAGGTGCTCCTGTCTGAGGAACACCATGCTCCTCTCCACACTCTGGAGCTGATGAGACAGGCGGCTCTCCTCCCCCATGGCTGCAGGAGTCTGCAGGGACCGAAGGAGGGCTAATAAGAGGTCGGCTTTCAGGGCTTACCACTTTGTGAAGCTTCAGCACCAGCTGCTAACTGTTTCCACAGAAGAAAATCTGTTCAATCGAGGCCACATTGATGCTATAAATAAGATGACCAGTGCTCCTCCCTGCCTTACAGTCTTACATGGAGAATATATACTCTTTATATTAATTTAAGGAATGAAAGCCCGGACCCCCCAGTTTGTACCCAGCCACTAGCATTCTAATTCCTTTTTCTTAAACAGGTATAAGACAGAGATATTTAGCATAGCATTAATTAGAAAATTGGCCAAATTTGAAGGACCTACAATAATCTACAGTTTTTTTTAGACAGGACAGCTGTTCAATCAATCACAAGTTGCAAAAGAAACACACTTCTCAAAGAAAATCACACACAAACCAAAACCTGATGGTGGCGGCATCATGCTGCGGGACAACCTGTCGGGATGCGAAACTGGATGAAGCTAAACTGGTGGAGACCTAACCAAAAGGACTATTCTAAAAGGGCTGAAAACAAATGCACAGCACCACCTTTCAGATTTTTAGCGCCTCTTATTTTTATTTTTCCACAACAACAAAAAAAACATTCTCACCCTATCAGATAAAACACCAGTAACATCCAGTTAGATTTCTAGCATAATAACAAATGAAAAGCTCGGAATTCATGTAATTTATATTTATATGACAGCATGCTGCCACAGACCATACAATGCGACACTACAATGGCAATAACTAATGCAATGTATAATGAGCAATTACTATTTAATACCCTGTGCAATAACCTGTTTCTCTATATTTGATACCCAGTGCAATTATGCAGATACATATGTAAATACCCTATGCAATAACTCTGTATAATTAAAAAAAGGACTCCAGATGTCTCACACATATATATATATATATATATATATATATATATATATATATATATATATATATATATATATATATATATATATATATATATATATATTGTACATACTGTGTATACCCCCATGCACCTTTTCTTCCTTTGGTATCTTCTTCTTTTTGACAATTTGAGCTGATGTAATGAGTACATTTCTCCAATGTGAGACTTATAAAGTCAATTGATCAATCAATCAGGCAATTAATCAATCAATCAATCAATCAGGCAATATCTCTAAATTAGGCTAAAGTTTTTGTCTACCACCATGATATAAGTCCCCCCATCCTATCTGGCTCCCTTTAGAAACTTTCTAGGGACGCCCTTGCTCTTCAATTATGAAATCAATGGAACACGTAGGCAGTTTTCCAATAAGAAAATGTGTTTACCTTTACAGTAATGATTGAATTGAAAATGGCCCAGAAGCTTTATAAATCCTCCTGCTGTGTGGGCATGCTGCTCTCCAGTGCTGCTCCAAATCCTGCAGGCTGCGGCATTCACCAAAACACATCTTATCTGAAAGGATAAAGCGCTTCCCAGCGGCATGTGACGCTGTCTATTTAGAGGAGAGACAGGATGCAAGGCTCCTCTGTCCTCTGACAAAGCCACTCCTGTCTGCAGCATCCGCGCAGAGGGAAACGCATCGATCAGTGATGGGATCCAGGAGCGTCCATTATGATCTCCAAGGATGCCCCTGTTGCTGGTCTGCTTCCTCCGACTGAAGCACAGAGGCGCTGGATGGGAAATGATGAAAACAAGCCAGAGTGATCGGAGCATCGGACGACAGAGGGAGAGGGCCCGCTGATTGGAGGAGAGAGGCTCTGACAGCTGCGCGTCAGCAGCTTCAGCATCAGGTCGCACGGTCACGCTGAGAGTGTTTAGTGAACGAAAACAAAGCAATACAACCTTTGACAGCAAGAAATAGCTTTTCTGTTATTAAAACAAAATAGCTTCCATGTTGATCATTTTGGGTCAGTGGTTTGGAGCTTTATTTTTTTTAAAAACATTTGGAGTTTCTTATCAGAAAACTGGCTACATTCACAATTTTGGAGAACATTTAGATTTTTTTTTACGTTTCTAATTAAACAATCTCTGCCCGTGTTATATTCATAGGCAGAGCTAGATGGGGGGCCAGGGGTGGCCATGGCCACCCTTAGCCAATCATTGGCCACCCCTACCTATTTTTCCCCTTCTAATAAAAATGGTGGCAGCAGTACTACTCTAATGTGGAATATTCAAAACATTGAAATTTTTCATATATTACTTACTAGTTTTTCATATATTAACAATTACTTGACAACAACGACACTGTGGTTAATTATACACATCAGTATACTAACATTAAAGTTGATAAGTACAGAATTGCTGCTTTTTTCAGAACTAGATTTTGTGTTATATGAGGTAGAGTGAAAATTGTGTCTCTGCAAGTCATCTAGTCTTCAGTAAAATTATAGATAAATAGTTATTTTAATAAAATGCATTAAATAATCAATGTATCTTGATATTAGTACTTGTAAATATCAATATCAATTTTATGCGGAATAATTAATGATAAAAGTAGGTAGGTAATGACATTAGAAAAGACCTTCGCCCAAAACTCAAACCTCAAATAATTGTATCCACTATACCTTCTATCTAGAAAGCACAAATGTTTATATTATATTTATTGATATTTATGTGTATATTTGTCAGCAGAAGTTGTAGAAAAGTATAATTAGTCTTTATTTAGAAAATATGGATGTTGTGCCTGTTCATTTTCCTGTTGTAGATAGGCTCTGAGGTTCTGGTGCCTATCAACATTCGGCACCCTCAATTTACATTGGTTATTGCCTGGCCACCCTTATAGTTAGTCTTTATTTAAAAAATATGGATGTTTTGCTTGTTAATTTTCCTGTTGGAACCAGAGGCATAGCCAGAAATGTTTTAATACTTTCCTACAACCTTTGCTAACAAATAGATGTATATTTAAACATCCGTTGTTTCTAGATAAAAGGTATAGTGGATAAAACTCAGTTTTGAGTCCTGGGGCGTAAATTTATTCCATCGTCATTACGGTACTTACCTACTTGTATCAATAAACATTCAGCATAAAATGGATATATACAAGCATTAATATCTACATACATTTATTATTTGCTAAGTTGTTATTAAAATTGTTATTTATCTTTGATTTAACTGAAGACCCCTAGATGACTTGCAGAGACACATCATTTTCTCTTTACCCCAAAAAACACAAAATCTAGTTCTGAAAAGAGCATAGGTGGCCGATGAGTGGTTAACGGTGGCCATGGCCACCCCTGGTCCCCTATCTAGCTCCTCCCCTGCCACTAAACGACATTTAAAAAAAATCTTTTCCAACTTATTGCATTAAGACTTTCATATGTATTGGTTTTAAACAAGATAATATGTTATTTTAAATGAACTGCAAATCCATAGCTGAAAAAATTGGGTTGGAAAAATAATCACTTTTTTGTTCCACTTTTTGTTTTGTACTTTACTGGCGAGCTTTAATTACTAAAGAAATTAACACTACATTAAAGATTTAAAATATTTATTAGGTGTGGTCAGGGATCAAATTAAAAATATAAAATATATTGATTATGAAAAAGCTATACAAAAGTATAAAATACTTGTTCTCTTCTTCACAATTTAGTCTCCTACTTCCAAAATTGAAATTAACCTTGCCGCCTTTTTATTGACAATACTAGGCTTTGTAAAAATCTACACCCCATCTCCCCCTGAATACATTTAATAAATATGGAAAATGAAAAATGGTAACTTCTTGTGTTTCTGTTTATTGTTTTTCCAATGAAACCTTAATCACTTAGACTCTGATTTTGAGTATTTCAAAATTAATTGAAATGGAAGTTTGTTATAGATGCATTTTGTGTGGAGGAGAGATTTATCTAATAGACCCTCTAATACCTTCCTGGGCTCTTTCTGCATGCAGTTGGGAGATTCTCCAACTGTCCAAAAATGTGCATGTTATGTTAATATATTCCCTTAATTTCTCTTTGGAGTGGAGTGTAGTTGCATATATATGGTTATAAAAACATTAAACCATAGAGATAAGCAGCAGTTTGTCCTACTGTTATCCTATTGTAACGTTAACAATCCAGAACCTGGGAAACAAATGTGTTATTAAACTATTCTTCCACTAGAGGGAAGTATAGACATTCAAAACAATGTTTTTAATATTAATTCACTTTGCTTAAAGAATCCAGAGAAAATGTCAAATGGTTTATTGTTTTCAATGATTTTGCAATGCATAAAGCAAGTAATTATAAAGCAGGAAATACTGATAGTGTTATTCAATGAGACGGTTTTCCAGTTTAAGGATGAAACAAGATGGTTTGTGCTTATGCAGGTTCCATCTTCACATTGCTTTAGAGTTTAAAATTGTAGTTAAAGAAATAAAGTGTCCAAGCACCCATTTTGCTTCTGCCTTCCTGTTTATTCAGACCAAGCATGTACTTACCAAGAAAAAGCATACACTGGTTGTTTTCTGTGATGCCAAGGGGAAAGCTTTCTCCATCATTTATAATTACAGATTTTCAGCTACAAATGCATTCACAAGTGTTAGTGTAAACGTAAACCGTAAAGCTCTCTTTTTAAAAACTTTTTTTGTGGATTTCCTTTGATATTATTGCCAGTTACCATTATACACCATGCAAATAGCAGAAATGGTGCTGCTTCTTGACTCGAGTGACTTAAAAAAAGAATGTGGGGCTTAAATATCTAGTTAATCGTTAGATATCACTTCCAGATGTCTGAAGAGATTCAGAGTTCCTCTGTTCAACACTGACACGCAGATGTGAACAGTATGGGAATAATCAGCAATCAAGCTGTTCAGGAAGGATTGATGTGTCCCAGAGATAAACACTGTGTAATGCAAAAACGTTTGATATTACTCATTTAGAAGGTAAAATACCTTGTAAAGATGCTTGCTTAAGCTAATTAGAGTGTCATTATCAACTGTGGAAAAGGTCCTGTAGTCATGGGCTCTAAGGCCACATGCCATGTACTGTGGTGAGATGAAAACAAAAAAGTGTTTTGTCATAATGACTATAAGTTCTATTGGTTTGGGAGGGGAAACAGGAAGTTTACAACCCTGAGAACACACTATTCCATTTGTTAGCTATGGGTATAGCAGTATCATGATGTGGGTGTCAGGTTTGTTGGAGGTTTTAAGGACCCAAATGCAGAGGGGAGTAGGCACGGATTAGTTTGGATGTAAGTCCAAAGGAAACAAAGGCAAAACAGAAAACCAAACAGAACCAATAAATGTCAGTAAAAAATACCAGAGGAAAGCAAGAGACTAGGAAGCAACTAACATCTTCAATACACAAGAAACCAAGAAGGCTCTGGTGCTCTTTTAAGCCCAGCACTATGATTATAAAGATTACTTTCACCTGTGTAGGCTACCCCTGTTCTCCACAAAGATCCTCTATGGTAGAGATGCACAACTCGCACTAACACACAAACAGGAATCCTGACAGTGGGGATGCTTTGCTGTAGGAGGGACTGGTGCTTTTAACAAAATATATGTTATGCCATGTCAGAAATACTATGCCATGTCTATAAAAATAAAAGTAACAGTAAGTTAAAGCATGAACGCCGATAAGGCTTCAAAATGGACAACAACCCTGAGAATAACAAAAAAATTAGCTTTAAAGTGGCTTAAGGCCAACATTTTTAGAGGTTTATTTGCTTCAAAACACCAAGTCAAACAGTCAGGAAAATGATACATATATATATATAAATATATATACTTTTTCTCATATACATGAGAAAAGCTGCAAATAGAAAAGTTTTATACTGTTTAATTCAGTTTATATATATACTTCACCAATCCACAACTTCTGTCATCCCAAGCCACTCCACAGTGACCACCCAACTAGGTCATGCAGTCGGATTGGTCAAAATTTTTCAAAGGAAAACCAGCTGACTGCTTCGACTTATTGACTTTCTGCAATCCCTCTCACTGAGGATGCATGTAGCGAGAGTGGAGAGGAAAGCCCCCTTTTAACAGGAAAAAACCTCCAGCAGAACCGGGCTCAGTGTGAGTGGCCGTCTGCCGAGGCCAACTGGGGTTCAAGAAGATAAAAGCAAATATTTTGGCTCCAGCACATTAAGTGCCATCCCAAACCATATAGTGGGAAGGGCCAGTGGACCGATCAGCCTTTTAATAGCGAGTCTGCGTCCGTTGCAGGCTCACTGGAATTGGGCAGCAGGTGTAACAGCCGCCTGATGGCGGAGGAAACACATTCCACCAAATGTAATGCTTCGCTATTTGCTGCATCTTCGTCACACTGACAGGAAATCACAAATTAGTTTATGAAAAAAAACATTATTTCCAAAATGGAAGGTCCTCTTTGAAATAATTTTGACTGTATACATTTGCTTTAAGAAGGGGGTAAATGCCAAATGTTATGTTAACCTGCACCAAAGAGCTACGCCTACAAATGGGCCATCACTGGGTTGCCATAGAAACAAATTTGTTCCTTTTCCATTGGAGTGAAGAAGCCATCCCATTCTCGTTTATACCCCCCCACCTTTAATCAAGGTGCCTTCCACAGCTGCGAGTGTAACATCACTGGTAGTGACACTTAATATTTAAGGGTAATTGCTTAGGGAGAAGTTTGGGATTGGGCCTGAGAGTGAGATGGGTGAAAATTCATTGGTGTGCTGGAGGGAGACAAGGTCAAGAGCTAAATGAAGATGATCTTGAAAGATGATTGGATTTTTGCATAAGCTTCATTTCATACCTTTAAAGTGAACTTTAAAACTCTCCCAGTAAACAGAAACACCTGAAGCTTTTTTTTTTCTCCTCTCATTTTATTATTGTCACGTTCAACAATTACATTATAGAAACATACGGTCAATATAATTAAGTTACAAAACAATTTCCGCCAAAGCATGAAAAAATAAAACCGTTATATTTACACAGTTACAGTTGAAAGCCAGAGTACAATGTGAGGCAAACAATGCTGCTTTCAGGGGATTGAATTGATTTCTTTAATTTTACGGATGGCCAGAAATGACATAAAAGCTGCATGGTTTCAAAAGTCAGTTTTGTGTTTTTACTAAGCTCTAAAAGGTAATGCAAAGATTAATCAAGAGGGTTGTAACGTTGGAAACATTAAACCATTAACAGTTTGTTAAATGATGGAACTCAAAAGGAAAAAAAAAGAAAAAAGACAAACATATGAGGACTAATTTCATCAGTTATTGTGCATGAACACAATCATGAAGCTATTTGATTTAATATGTCTCATATCTTTCAACTGTATTTCTGAAAACAGAACATCCTTTTGGAGGTTTGTTGGGGTTGCATTTGGTAATCAAAAACCAAGATAACAATAAAAAAAAGACAAATTTAGCAGAGAAGAGAGCAGGAAAAAAGTTTGTTCTGCTTAACACCATAAAAAAACAGGAGTGGATCCCAACTTGACTGCCACGCTTTATTACAACTCATTAAAGCACAGACTACAGCAGTATCAGTGCAGCTTTAACAAGACACACATGTAATCTCACTGTTCAAAACTTCAATAGTCACCAACTCTCTTCACTACAACCACAATAAGCTGCCCAAAATTTAAATATTTGAACAAACAAAAGACCAAATCAAAATATGGGGGAATAATGCAATAAAAAAAAAGTATATTCCATATTTTTACAAGATGGTTGTTATAGACTTCAAGAAACACGGAGCCCCACTGGAGATTAGTTTATGCTTCCTGATCTACAGCAACCCTCAAGTGCTGAGTATAAATGTCAGGCTGTGCGAGTCCAGATATGTTAAGCTGAAAATCTGGAGGAGCTGCTATATCTATAATTCTTGGGATTTTTTTTTTAAATATAGATTTTCTTAACCTTCATAACGAACCAATCTGAGAGTTACAGTCACTGAGTTAAAATACAAACTGCACCATCATAAACGTTTCTAATTTCTTTTACAACAGGAAAATCTTATACACCATGTTAATTACAGCTTTAATCCATAATTTGTTCTAAGTACAAATAAATTATAAACATGTACAATTAAACACTGATTATTCACAAAAAGGAGGAAAAAAAACCCCAAACACAAGCACAAAAAAAAAAGAGATTCAAAATTTCTTTATAAAGTGTAACGATTATAACGATTAGATTAGGAAGAGTAGGCAGCTCAGTTTGCTGTATTCACAGATCTCAGACCTGTTTGTTCTCAGACTCCCTTCAGATTAAAGGCAGATGGCACATGTGTGGATAAAAAGGTGACAAAATACAAACATCTGTGGTTGTCTTGGCTGTGTGAGGTCACTGAGGCGATGGCCAGGAATGCCCAATCCTCCGATTGTAAACTGAAGAACGGGGGGAACCTGTCTGAAAGCTCCTACTGCAGACTGAAACCCACCACGGCACACAATAGCACAATAATTCACCAAATAGTAACCACAATTGATGACATTTGGAGCACAGCCCCATCTACGGTCAGTATTTGCACCCATTTCACTGGATTTGGGCATTTCTTTAACAGAAGGAAACAGGTTCGAGTCTCCAGACTTTTTCATAAAGGAGGATCTAGTGAGCAAGACACCCTGCAAAAGTGTTAGGATTTTGTTTTTCCTTCAGTGCTAATTTGTTGGGCAACAATTTATGTCCACATTTTACATAAATATACCAAACAAAATAAAGAAAACAAAAGCTGTGACAGTTTAGCTACCGTGTGTCACGCTCTCATCGACACAGTCCTGGTGAGATCTACTTAAATTTAGCTTTAAATGTATGTATTAAAGTTTCATGTAGTCATCTCTTTTCTTGAAGCTTATATGGTGCTTTTTTTCTGTTCTCCAGTTTCCAGTGCTTACGTATCAAAGCAAATTTTAGGGATAAAATTTTATATAGCTTTATTTTTTTTTTATTTCTCTTGCTAAGAATAAGCTATCTTTTTTCATTTCCACTTTAATTTTCTTCATTATAAGCAACAAGCTCCACCTCCAAAAATCACATTCATTAATTTTTCAAAAAATTATTTACATTTTATCATCTTTAGAAGCATTTATCCAACTATCCTGAACTAACCACTACGTTCTAAGATTGCTATATGCAGTAATTACTGGCAATCCTGGTAAAGATGTGCTAAAACAGTGAAATTACACAAATCTTTTAATGTACATGAATATCCTCCCATAGAAAATTGACAAAAATTTATTTGAACACATTAAGAAATAATATGCTTCCAAAGCAGTACGGAAAAGGAGCACATTTACTTGTACTAAAATTTACGATAGTTAACGGGGAAACAAAAAATGAAGTATGGATAGATCTTTTAATTTTTACAGACTTTTTCCTCTATTTTCTAAAGAGACATAAATTAATTCTGCAGTGATTTTCACACTGTTTTGAATAGAAATGATTAACTTTATCATTCGTTTCCCACATCAGATATAATTTTGATATATAACCCAACCATTTGTTGCATCTGTTGGAACGCAATTAAGGTCACAATCTGTGCTTATTACAAAAAATATAAATGTCAGGCCTGTTTCGTGTTTTGATGACCTTTTTAACGTCTCGTTAAAATAAGGCCTTTTTTCCCCCCAAGGCATTTAAAGGTTCATATTGTGTATTTAAACTGTTTGACAAAATGTAGTAAAAGGGAAACATGTGACATTAAAGAAAGGTAGATGCATATTTATGCTCTATATCTCAGGTAATTAGTGTTTGACCAAACATCCTGATATCTTGAGTGAGATTATAAATAACGTGCCAAAAAACTGGAATAAAAAAAAAAAAAAAACAAGAACCAACCGACGATTAGCAGAAAAGATGGGAGGTATTTACTCTAAGGCACATCTTTAACAGGTTTACCGACGTCTGTGGAGAGCGGCGCTCTACATTTTTCGTTTCGTTTTTTTAAAGTGGTTTTTAAATTTCTAGTAAAGTGATCAACACTGTCAGCAAAGCGGGAGTTAGCGACCGGTTCTGAGGTAGCTGGCGGTATTTAGTTGAGGAGATTTGGTGGAAAACACATTCACCTCTGCAGTGCCGAAGGCAGATATAAGGGGGCGCCACTGATGTTACTCAGATGGTTTTAAAAAAGGAAAAAAAAATTAACAGCATAATGTGTATAGACTATAAACTATATGAATTAAATAATGTATTTAGTAAAGGTATTTGATATTGTTCCCAGTGGCTGTGTCAGTGAGTACTGGAGGAGCTGTTTAAAGGCCTCACTTCACCCCCCTGCTACAACTTCAGATGAAACGTCAATTGGGACTTTAAGGCATTCAGTGACATCTTTAAGGGACTCGTGTTCTTCATGAGAAGAAGCACGTGAGCACAGATGCCAAAACTGCAGCTGATGGGAGAAGGTTTGAGGTGAGTAAGGTCGTAATTTTTTTTAGAGTGAGGCTGTCTGATTACATTAACAGTGTGGGGAAACATCTCTCCATGTCCGTCTCCAAGCTATGAGGTTGTTAAACACAAGCAGAAAACAGTACCGGATCTCAGGCACTTGGTGTTAACGCACAGTTCTACATCTTCTCCTTCTTGGCCTCCCTGGTGCTGCTCTTTAAAAAGTCGCTCCTGAGCAGCCGGCAGAAGAGGATGATGTTCATGACGGTCATGATGGCCATTCCCACGCTGCCCAGCGTGTAGGCCAGCAGGGGGACATTATCCCTGTTCAGCACCAGCCAGCGGGTCATCCAAGCCAGCGTGTTGATGCGGAAAACCACGTAGGTGCCTAGGTTGATGATGCTGTTGACGCGGTAGAGTGTGCCTGCCGCCATGCTAGCCATGCGCAGCATCTGCCTAAGGTGGAGGAACACAGAGTTTATCTCCACCAGCAAGGCAACCACGGCAAATCCCACGTAGCGACATGACACCACGGACAGGCCAAAGCAGGTGATCACCTACAGAGGGACACAAACAGGGGAAGAAACGTTAACATGCTGTAGCAATGGCATCTCTCTCCATTCTCAGATGTCAATGGTCAATTCATTTTATTAAAATAAGCAAAAAGGATACTAAACATTAAGTGATCAAATATGCCATAAATCTGGGCCAACTATTACCTCGTCATTTAAAAAGCCACATTGAACTGTGGATTTCAGTCCCTCTAAGCAGAAAGGACTTTTCATAATTTCTAAAAGATTATCTAAGATATTAAATTATGCTGCTCTATGTTTAGGATGCTGGAGGACATAGTGGCCACTTTCCATCACTCTGCTTCATTCTATCTCTATTCTCCCACTCTGCAGTATTTAAGTTCCATTTATAACCAAGTTCTTTCTGCTTTCTCCGTAACAGTAGCTTCAACTGATCTGTTCCTATTTGGCTGTGACTCCATTCTGGATTTAAATATCATCTGTGCTGCTGCCATCAACCTCTCTGTTAAAAGATGTTGGAGCTTGAATTGTTTTTCAGTGTAGTCCTGTTTCTCTTTGTGTGACCAACTGCATGTGCTCTCTTTCATCCTCTGACAAGAGCATTGGCTCATAGCTTGTCTTTCTGGCTGTGCCTTTGTTGGAGTGGGCCACCTGTGGAGCTCCTTGACAGTTAACTTTCGTATCTATGCTACTTTCTGTATATCTGCTTCCGTCTCCTTAAACCCCAGTTGGTCTCGGCAGACAGCCGCCTACACTGAGCCTGGATCTGCTGGAGGTTTCTTCCTGTTAATAGGCAGTTTTTCCTCTCCACTGTCGCTACATGCATGCTCGGTATGAGGAATCGCTAAAGAGTCAAAGACAAACGCAAGCAGAAAACGTCAACACAACCTCATCCAGGAGGACCATGTCTTGCAAGTCAATAACTCGATGCAATCAACTGATTTTCCTTGACAGTAACTTCTAACTAATCTGACGGCATTGTCTCTGTAAAGTGCCTGCAGATGACGTGTTGTGTATTTGCACTATATAGATAAACTGAATTGAAAATAAACAACAGCACGAGGCAGTATTTCTAAAATCTCTAGATTTCTTTAAAATCCTTTAAAATCACTTATATAACACGGAGGATGCCTGAGAAGGGAGGGAGGGAATGTCGTTAAATAAAGACAAGATGACCTTTAGCACTAAAACATAACAATCAACTATTAGATAAATAAAACCTCAGAAAAGCACATCAAGTATGACAGAAAGTTTTCATACTATGACCCTGTTATCTCTGAAGGTGCTGCCCTAGCATTTAATAGTTATGTATTGAAATCCATTGTGATGCTTTTGGAAGGTCAATGCACCTACTCCACCTTTGTGCTGAATTGTGCTTATGAAAGGTTGTGATGTAACAGATGGACTCAATCCACAAGGTGGCAGCAACTTCCTAACAACAGCCGGCTCTACATTCCCAGTCTGTTGCCTTGATTCTGAAAAGTTGGACAACTGCACACCTCTGAGAGGAAACCGTTACCAAACGCGATCACAGTCGCAGTGTTGCTGGTCTAAATCTACATGACAGAGGTGTGTTTATATGGAAACACTCTGTGGGGTACAGCTTCATGTGCTCAGAGCTAAAGCATGCTTTCAGACATCTTTAACCACCTTGCTGAGATGTTTACAGACAGCGTAGGGGCAAATAAAAGCTGCAATTCAGCCCTTTCACTGGACAGCGCAGTCTGGGACATATGGGATGACCTTTATCATCCGCTGAAGGGGCCACTTGTGTTTATGCATGCTTCTCCCGTGTGACGTCACATGCTGTGTGTTCTTGGTTAAGCAACTGGACATGTGAGGGGGAGCAGTACACATCATGCTTTACAGCATGATGCATTGAGGGTCAAAGGTTTGCTTTACTAAACACATTTACTTTCCTGCAAAAACCTCACATCTAGAAAGCTGAAGGGGAGAGGTTCAATGATCTGTTTGGAGCAGAGATGATGCTGGAAAATAAGATGGAAACAATCTGGAGTGACATCAACCCAAGAAACACACTGTCCTGGAAAATCAGTCAAACTTCTTCATATTTCCTTACATTATAAATATGAATCCTTTTTATTCAACTGTTTGTTGGTTTGTTGTGATATTTCACATACAAAAATGTATTGGACACCATACCTTTTTGTGTTCGTATCTTAAATCTGTGCTTCAGATTGATTATGCAAGCCTTTACCCGGTTACCCTCCTGTTAAATCCAGTGAAACTGAATGGTTGTTAGACATTAGTTTAGTGTAAATGTCCGACTGTGTCAGTCTTTGTCCCAGCATGGCTGTTCTGCACAGGTCTTTCTGTTGAGAACATTTAAAAATAACCACTTTAATGATAATCAAACCAAAACCTGATTTAAAAACTTTTAAATAAAAAGGCTTTCTTAGATGTGATTCACAGAGAGTTGGTTAGTGAGCAAAAGTATCAGTATTGGATAGAAACACTAGAGTTAGGTCAGAGTTGTGGTAAAAATTAAAAACAGATTAAAAAAAATGTTTTTAAATCCTCAACAATAAATAGCTCTTTAGTCTGAAAGTGGAAGAAACCCACCAGAAAAAAAAAACTACAAGTTATGTACCTCACTGATCTGGTCTTTATCAAAGAGCTGCAAATTGAAAGTGTGAAAGTCAGTGTTAGTTTTCCACAGTTAAACACGGTGGTGGCAGCATCATGATGAGAAGACAAAAAGAGTTCCTATGATGGCGAGAAAACCTGTTGACTTCAGCAAAGGAGAAAAAGAAGTTCACCTTCCAGCCGGATGAGGCAAAGTCCTGACGTAACTATCAAAGACTTAAACACTATCAGAGTCAGCTATTTTACAATGAAAAAAGGCAGAAAGTATTGACTAAGTATCATATTAGAGGGAAATAAACACCAATCAATTCTGTTCTTTTCACCTTTTTTCCTCTGTGCTCCTTAACACTGGTTCTTCACATAAATCCCAATTTTTCTTTGAAGCTGAATCTCACAACTCATCAATAGATGAGAAGTGCCAGGATGCTGGTGATGAAGCCAACAAGAGCCAAACATTGCTTGACCACAAATAAATACAATTATCATTTAGATGTTATCAAGCAGCTACTCTAAAGCGGGGTGGAAACAGAAAGATGGAAATTTGGAAATAAATCGGAATAAGTAAAAGATCTGAATATCTGAAATCAACAACAACCCAGATAAGGCTGCCTTTGTTTTTTTTATCTAAGTTTAATGTATTTACTTTGTTTTAGATGTAAAAACAGACATTTTGAATCACTTCTTTTCTCTTACTAAATTAAATAAATATTTGTTTTAAAAAAAACTGTTGCATTTATTTGTTCTGATATGACAACTTAACGATTTGAAGCCTTTAAGTGACAAAAAAGTTGGAAGCAAATTCAATAAAAGTGCTTATTGTGTCTTGTCACAAGTTAATCTTAAAATCCAGATTTAGACTTTAGAGCAAGAAGTTTAGGAATCTCCTGCCTTATACCTCTGACAAAAAGGTTAACTCTTTTTACTCAGACAGAATTGAAAGAGGTTTCCTATTAAAAATCAAACAGAAGTGATCAGACCAAACCCAACACACACTTAATGAAAAAATCTGTGAGATGCGTGGGTCCACTAAGAAAAACGACACATCCACGTAAACGCACATAAATCTCAGGAGCGTTCTGATCTGATCCGCTCGTTCTCAGACAAGAGAAGCTCTGACCAAAACCACAGAAACAAGAGGGTCTTTAAAAGCTGCCTTATCTAAGGTCTAACTGCATCAGATAAAACACGACAAAACGTGACGGCAAAGGTCATAACAAACCCTTATACAATCCAGAGATAAGACGCTTTGGTAACAGACCGAGTTACTATGTAAAGTAATAGTGGAAGGTGATATAAGTCAAAGCCCTTCATAAGGAGGGTAATAATGAACTGCCCAAGGTCTTTTTTTTTTAGACTACATAACATGTTTTCCATATCTTTTATGGAGGTTTTTACTGCAGATGTTCTGTAATCAAACGATTGCCAATAAACAAAGATAAAAACTCTGAGACACACAAGACCCTCAACTTAAGTTATATATCACTTTTTCAAGGCCTCCATAAGTCCAAAATCTGATCCTGGTGAAATCCTTTCTGTAAAAATTAACATGAAAGAAAGAAATAATGTCAGAACTGTTGTCAGCATCCTGCACTAAAGCAGATCAGAATAAACCTCCCACCCCGGCCTCTGGATCTATCATGATGGGATTGATTCAGCATTAGGTGGATTTGCAGCACAAAGCTCTGCTGATGCGCCGCTTCTATACGCAGCAGCTTTTTAAAAGAGGTGGATGAATTGGGCCAGCAAACGCTAGGGCGTAGTTTGGGAAGTGAAAAAAACAAATTGGTGTGTGGTTTCTAAACACTTCGAACAAAGGAAAATCTGAAAAGTGTGGCATATGTTTAGTTTCAGCAGCATTTATTGGAGGGAAGCATTGGGGTATCTCCCCCAACTGCTTTTCACTTATACACATGGAAGTTTAGAAGATTCAGTGAGATAAAATGTCATTATCTCAGTATTTATATCAGACTGGTTTAACAAATTTCTATGGTTTCTATAATTGATTCAAGTGGCCATTACTAAAAACGGAAGCTGGAAGGTGAAAATCTGCCATCAGCCTCATTCATTCAATCCAACCAGCTTCTAAAAAGCCATCTTGATTTGTGTGTCAATATGGACAAAATCAACTTAAGCAAAAAAAAAAATAAAAACTTATTTTCATATTTCAACAAACCCCCCCAAAAAGGGTTTACATTTTTGTTTTGCTCATCGTTGGAGAATATAATTATACAGCTTGTTTATAACAAAACCATAAATAAGATATTATGCTTCTCCGGAAAAACAAAGCTGTATGTTTGTTCTCTGCATCTTCCTCCCTATGGGCTCAATTAGCCCTCCTCTAAAGCCTGCAGAGGGACTTCCACATTCATGGGGAGACTGGATGCATGTGTGGCTAAATATACAGAAATTTAACAACA